AAAAAAAACTGTTTGTGGGTCTTGGCTTGAAATAACAGATTATCTGCAAAAGTAAATCCTTAAATCTGCATTATTTTTAACGGCCAGCAGAGGGAGGTTTTTGGCAGAAAGTGGCACGATAGCACAGAAGTGTAAAAGAAAATCACTCTAATCATAATGTATGCCTTCATCTAACACTTTATGTTATAAATAAAATAAAAATTTAAACAGTATATGCTTCATGCTGTGGACTATTGACTGATTATCGTCATGCAGTGGCAGATGTAGCTCTAGCTTGTGACCTCAGGTTTTAAACATCAGAGGTGATGAACAAAATGCTAAACTGGAATTTTCATGTTAAAGGCACCTCTGATATACATTTAACGGCTGTGACTCAGTTTAAAGATCAGTTTAAGGATCAGAATCACATCCAGTTTCTCGTTTTAATAACAGATCTGATAATCTGATAAAGTGTAAATCCCCGTGTTAGAGTTTGCTAATCTAAGATTCTGGAGCTGCTGTCTCTGCTTGATCCTGCACCACTAATCAGCTCTACAGTAATTATACCTGTAAGTTCACCAACACCACCTTTGCCACTTTAACCTTTGTGACTGCAGTGTTACTGCTTTTTAGTTTTTATGTTTTTACTAGGACTGCTCCTGCTTGAGTCTGCCTCAGCCATCTGTTGGTTTACTCACGTGGTTTTGTGTTGCTTTAAACTAACTTAACATTATTTTGAAATTGTGAATATTGGGCATATTGACATGATGCAAGATGGTATAACGAGTCATCAGTAAAATTAAACTAGTAATTGCAATAAAAAAAATCAGTAGTTAATGTAATAATAATTATTAATTGGCTGATGATTTGGGGGTTAAAAGAGATTTATAAAAATAATAAATAAATAATAAATAACAGCTTGCCATACAACCAGAGGTCAAAATACACACTGCAGCATTGGTAAAACTGAGAAACACAAGAATTACAACATTTTCCTTTCAGCTGTGTTCACCAACCACACTAAGCAAGACACATGGTGAAATTTAAAGAATAACTTAATTAATATTCAAATTAAATTAAAAAAAGATAATAAACATTTATATTTATTTTCTTTTTTAAATAAATAACTTGTATACAAAGTAAAAACCACAGATTTATTGTTGGGAACTAAACATCATGAAGCTTGCTTACCTTCTTGCGTTACTCCTACTGACTGATATAATCTTGAAATTGTGAACAAGAGGCGTGACTCGCCGGTTTAACCATTAATTTCAGCAATGACTCAGACATATAGTGAGTGAGCATGAAGTTAGAAAAGTTTGATTTTTCTGGCCATTTACGCCTAATAAAAAAAACAAAAAAAGCACCACAGTTTTAAAAGATACACATCTTTCAGTCTAGCATGTTTTGTTCTAGTGAATATTACTTGATGTACTACACACTCACCAAGCTGAGTATTTCTGTACTGCGGTTGGGTCTGGATCTTCCAGAAGAAAGAAATCTGTTTGTTGCACAACGTTCACTTTAACACACTGCACAACTTCCTTAGATGTGTGTCTGTGAGTATTACTGTTCAAACATGAACACAATAGTATACAGTGAGATCAGACCAAAGAAAAAAGCAACCAAACCTGTATAAGTGCACAGGTCTTATGAAAGGCGACACACTCTGGTTCATTGTTTGGAAGGTGGAGTAGTCGGTCATTTTGTTTTGATTTATATTGTCAAAGGTCACACCGGCTCTGGCTGTTTTCTTTTTCTTCAGCTTATGGAGACAA